AACCCAATCGATCATCCTCCAGCGACTGAGGGAAGACCAATTAACAACCGTGCCAGCCAATAACGAGATCCGGCTTCAGTCTGCTATTTAATTAGTCACTGTCTTGTTTTGAGTTCAGAACTGAACTGCACCTCTCACATTCTGTCCCTCATGGAAGGAGGGTTCAGGGAATTTCAGTGCATCAATGTTTAATCCCATATGGCAAACAAATAAACAAGCAAATAAATAAATAAATACATAGGAAATGTACAAAATAGTATAATATATTTTAAAATATATTTAAATAAATATACTGTCACGTTATATATTTACAAGTATTTACATAATTGTATTTATTTAAAAATACATTTTTATATACATTATATAATCGCATACAATATATTTGCATAAATATATGATTATAATTTGTATTATTAATTATAACATAATTTTTAGTTACATATACATTTCCCCAATAACTTTGGACCATGTTTAATTAATAAACAAATTAATACATTCATATATTTTTTTTTTACGTTATATACTTACAGCTTACAGCTTGGTTGAAATATTCTTGCCTGAATACCACACCCTATGCTCTCCACTCTATGCAGTTTGGCTTTAGAGCCAATTATTCCACCGAAACTGCTACTTGCTCGAGGTGGGGTTGTTGGAGCTGTGTTCCTGGATCTCAAGAAGGCTTTCGACACTGTCAATCATAAAATCTTGCTGGCAAAATTATGCAGTTTTAATTTTTCCTCAGATGCACTTAAATGGATTGAGTCTTACCTCACTGACCGTTCCCAACATGTCAGAGTCCAGTCATTTAAATCAGCGGCTCTCAGTCTGTCCACCGGTCTTCCTCAAGGATCAAATTTAGGACCTTTGTTGTTCTCACTTTATATAAATGATCTTCCGTCTGTCTGTCCAGATGTTTCTGTGCAGATGTATGCTGATGACACTGTAGTCTATGTTCATGGTAGTGATATCTCTCAGGTAGCTGAGAAAATCACTAACTCCATGGTTAATATTACAGCTTGGTTGAAACATTCTTGCCTGCAGTTGAACACATCAAAAACAGTAGCAATGTTTTTCACCAAGTCCAATAATAACTTCAGTGTTGAGCCGGATGTTTTTGTATCAGGGGAAAGGCTGCTGATCGTGTCAGAATACAAATATTTGGGGGTTTTAATTGATTCAAAATTGTCATTTAAATCACACGTAAAAAGGGTCTGTAATCGAATCAAATTCAACCTCAGTAACTTTAGACATATTCGCCATCAAATGTCTACACAGGCAGCAAAAATTTATATGCACTCTATGATCTTTTCACATATAACTTACTGTTTACCTATTTGGTCACAAGCTAGTGTTACATCTCTGAAACCTCTGCAATCACTTTACAAACGGACTCTAAAAATTCTGGATAAGAAACCAAGCATGTCTCATCATTGTCCTATATTACAAAAACACAGATTACTCAGCTGGGAAAACATGGTAAAATTTTCGAATCTATGTCTTGTTTATAAAATTATTCATGGTTTATCATCCCCTCCTCTCCATCAGTTTGTCAACATCCGAACAGCTGATCATAGCAGAACCAGAGGTGCAGCGAGGGGAGATTGTATCATTCCCTTTAGGAAAAGTGTATTTGGCCAAACCGCCTTTTCTGTTCGAGCTGCTACTGAGTGGAACCTCACCCCCATAAATATTAGAAACCTAAACATATATAGTACATTTAAGATCCAGTTAAAGAAATGGCTCATTGATAATCAGAGCTGTCAACATTAGCTTACTACTACACCTGCTCTCGCTGCCCCCTGTTGGTTTTTTTGCTTTGTGTGTGTGTATGTGTTCATGTATTTGTCTGATGTTTGTCTGATTGTTGGTCTGTTGCGTTTCTATTGTACATCATAGCTTAATAGTACTTTTTACTAAATGTATTGTAATTGTTTTATTGTTATGTTAATATGTAATTTTACTCTCTTTTAGGGTGACTATTACCATCTGTCTAGGGACTGCAGGTGAAAAATAGCCTTCTGGCTAATTCTGGCATATTGACAGAAATGTTTATTAATATGCATTGTCCCTGTAATAAATAAATAAATAAAATAAATAAATAAATAAATAAATAAAACATGTATTTACATCATTATATTTATGTAAAAAATATTTTTTGCATCATATAATTGCATATATTTACATAAATATATAATGATAGTTTTTATAATTAATTATAGTATAATTTTTAGTTATATACATTTCCCCAATATTGTTGGGCCATATTTACATAAATATATCATTAGAATTGTGCAATTAATTATAGAATTATTTTTTATTACTTAGGGCCATATTTCATATATTGTCCAATATATATATATTTTTTTGCATTTAATAAAAATGTATTTCATGGTTCATAATGTATTTTCACGCCCCTTGAAGTACGTTTTGTAATATATTCTGGCATTTGAAATTTAATTGAATATTTTCAATTTGAAAAATATATTTTAATAAGCTGTGCTGTTTACAACATATATACATACATTTATTTATATATATATATATATGTAGCATATATTTGGCCAGAACATGTATAATGTCAGAACATTATCTTTCAAGATCTCAATTATGTTTCATTGATTGGAGCATCAACAGATGTTTCTTCTAAAAGTCCTCATCAGAAATAAAAACAGACCCAAATGAGTCAGGAGAAACATCTGAGAAGCCTGAGACTCCAGCAAAAGTCTCCATTTAATCTCATTGCTGGCTCAGAGATCTCATTTGTGAACTTTCTTTCATGCAAAACGGGTTAAAAAGCAGAATTTGAGCAGAGGTCATTGACAGGACTTGAACTTCACTTACAGTGTCCTTCTGGAACGAAACCATTTGGAAACTTATTCTAAACATAAATATAAACAAGTTCTTTCAGCAGCAGTTCATCCAGAAATGAACATCACTGACTGTCATGTTCCAAACCCAAATGATTTACTTTACCATATATATATATATGGAATTTGGCATTTAGTCCAACAAATATATTAAACACATATATATATATATATATATATATATAATGTAAAAAAAACTACATTAAATTAAATATATATTAAGATAATGAATATATAGTGAAGATAATGTTTATGTGAAGCTCTGAAGTCCATCCTGAGACATCTTCAAACAGGCCATGAGAACATGAAGAGCTGCAGGATGATGATGATGATGATGATGATGATGATTTGAGGCAGAGAGGGTGAAAGTGGCGTGTTTTAGTCGCAGCGGTTGCCCTTTCACTCCCAGCAGGACCGTGCGTCCCGCTCCAGAAAGCCCCTGATGAAAGGCTCTTGGCGGGAAGGACTCTCCTCTGCCGTCTCCATGGAAACAGCTCCGGTCCGGCTCGGTCCTCCGCAGCTCATCCCCGATCCATCAGCAGATGCAGAGGACGAGCACCTGCTCAGACGGGGATCTGTAACGCGGGGAGATCCGGGGAAATCGAGCTGGAAGCGCCTGTGCATAGTGTACAATATCCTCAGATTCACTCCAGTTTGATTCTTTCATCTATTTTAGGCGCATGGGATGATTCTGTGTGTCAGTGACTCTCAGCCAGGTGTGTGCTTTGCCTCTGAGCAGAGCAGTGAGGTTTACATACGGAGAGACGGGGAATCTGGAGCCCGTTTAAAACCAGAATCCGTCTTCCTTCATCGGAGCCCAGGTCTTTGTTCCACAGCATCAGCTCTGTCCTGAGGACGAGACTAGACCACAAACTCTCCCCGGAGACACGCTCGCATGCACAGCCATGAGAAAGATCATTTCCATCCAAAAGCAGCTTTGTCAAATATCAGGAGAAGTGCATTAAATGAACGCTCTTCCCGAGTCCGATGGCGTTTAGCGTTTACCTAACGTCCCGTCTGCTAACTTCTGCTTCGTTTAAAATCATAAACATCCAACTAAAGTGAAAATAGCTGAAAACGTTTCATTTGAATCACAGACATGAAACATGATTCACTATCGATAGTCTGATTGGACACAATTGTGATCCGTCAATATTCTTGCTGCACTTTCCTTCAAGAGAAAACAGTCCATTTTAATAAATAATAATTATATAATAATAATTGTTATTCTGTGCACTGATGAATAATTCACGAGGAAAATAAATACATGAAAAGGTAAATAGAGTCGATCTGTCCGTCATGTATTTAGGAACATTATTTGAATATCTTCATGTGTCGTGAAAAGCTCATCAAAGACATTCAGATCTCACCCATCTCTACATCTGCACATGTTCATTAGTCCAGATTTGATGTGGATTGCTGTCACTGC